TTACAATTAAACTATTTAAATCTTCTTTTATATGTGAAACGTACAGTAGGCTTATCAATACCTCCCCCCAAAGCTTTCACCTTGTCCTCAAGGTGATTATTAGGAAACTGTCGAGCCAAAGCTTCCAAATTCTCCCAAGTTGACTCGAAATCTGACAGCCCTTTCCACTTGACTAACACCTCCAAACTGCCTGCATCATTTTTTTCCAGTCGTCTAACATCCAACAAGGCTTCCGGTTCTACTTGTAACACCATATCAGCAGACACTTGAATTGGTATGTTTTTTGTAACCAAACAGTTCCCAACAGCTCTTCTAAGTTGTGATACATGGAAGACARAATGTATCTTTACTCCTTCCGGTAACTCTAAACGATAAGCAACTTTTCCGATCTTCTCTAAGACTTTATAAGGACCATAAAATCTTGCCATCAACTTTGGACTATTCCCATTCACAAGGGATTTTTGTCGATACGGTCTAAGCTTCAAAAACACCAAATCATTAACAGCAAAATCAACCTCAGTTCGTTTCAAATCAGCTTGCTGTTTCATTCTACACTGCGCCTTCAAAAGATGCATTCGTACCTCATCCCAAATCTCATCTCGACTCATCAAWTCCATGTCTACTGCTTGTACCACAGTTGAAGCATCTTTATAACGTAACAAAGGAGGTGGATCCCGTCCATATAACACCTTGAACGGAGAACATTTAAGAGCTGTATGATACGCCGTGTTGTATGACAGTTCTGCCCATGATAACCATTTGCTCCACTGACGAGGTCTATCCGAAATCCAGCACCTGAAATCCAGCACCTCAAATATTGCTCCAGCCCTCTATTCACCACTTCGGTTTGACCATCCGTTTGTGGATGATAAGCCGAACTGAATTTCAGAGTTGTCCCTTGCAATTTGAACAATTCTTTCCAGAAATTACTCTGGAATACTTTGTCACGATCAGAAACGATTGAGCTGGGTATCCCATGCAATCGAATTATCTCTTTAGAGAACACCTCCGCTACTGATTGAGCCGTGAAAGGATGCTTTAGACCCACAAAATGAGCATATTTGCTAAATCTGTCTACCACCACCAAGATAGAATTCAAACCACCCGAATTTGGTAGACCCTCAATGAAATCCATCGAGRTATCACTCCAAACTGTGTCTGGAAGAGTCAACGGCTGTAGTAATCCTGCCGGTGAACCACTTAAAACTTTGTTTCTTTGACATGTTTCACATCCTTTAACCATATTAAGTACGTCCTTCTTCATACCAATCCAAAATAACTCGGCTGACATCCGTTGGTACGTTCTTTCTTCACCGTTATGTCCCTCGATTGGTGACGCATGGAATTCTTCAAACAACTTTGGAATGACCATCGACTTTCTGGGCAACACTAATCTACCCTTAAAGAATAACAATTCTTGTCTTACTTCGAATCCTTTATGTCGACTTGCATCTTTCAACACTTCATCTTTTATTTTGAGCAAAAAATCATCCATCTTCAACTCTTCTTTCAAACTTTCCCACTGTCTCCATGATGGCACACTCAAATTAGAAAACTCTATCTCTTCATGCTTACGAGAAAGTGCATCAGCAGCTTTATTAGCACTCCCTTGTTTGTAAACTATTGAAAAGTTATACCCCATTAGTTTACTCATCCAATTCTGATATTCCGGTTCCACCACTCGTTCTAACAAATATCGGAGACTTTGTTGATCACTGCGAACCGTGAAATGCCTGCCAAGCAAATAGGGTCTCCACTTCTTCACAGCTAACACTATGGCCATCAATTCTTTCTCATAAGTCGACTTTTGCCTTGCTCTTGTGCCCAGAACTTGACTGTAATAAGCCACGGGCTGTTCATTCTGCATCAAAACAGCCCCTAACCCTGTCCCAGAAGCATCTGTCTCGACTACAAACTCGGCTGAGAAATCAGGCAGCTTTAATACCGGTGGTGAAGACAAGATTTGCTTCAATTTGTCAAAAGCCTCTTG